CCCCCAATTTTTGCAGATGTCGAGGAGCGTGTCAGGCTACATTTCACTGTGTGTTATACTTGTATAACTATGCATGTGACAAATAAAGAACCTTGAACCTTGAAAAGATGTCATAAACTCATATTTTTATTTAAGTTCATTATAATAACACTGCCAAAACTTACAATTACCCAGAAAAAAAGAGAACAAAAAACACTCCGAGAGACTAAATTAGATGCACAACACATCCTCAAGACACCTGTCTTCAGGTGCGGAGGTTTTACCTGGACGTGCCTTTACTGACACCTGCTGGCTGCTCACAAAAGAAGCAGGTGAGCTTTGTCAGCTCTCGTGTCTGTCGGTGTATTTCTGCCGCTGATGAATGTGCGGCCTTCCGAGGGGGCATCGGGGTTGATTTAGCGCTCGCATCTGACATAAAACCCGCTCCGTGCGCATAAATAGGGCTGTGCGTAAAGACGGCAACACAACTGTTGCGCGTATGCAACAGTTGTCGGCTAATAATATCAGCCTGCTGCGCCTTTAAGAGGATGACTGAGGGGAAACTTAATATCTCTCCATATCGAGCCCAAGTGTGTCTGTCAATTACCAGTTAGAATCGAGAGCAGGACGATTTCTGAATCTGTTCCTCCTTGTTCACCAAACTCTGTTCAGTTTTTCTGTTTTGGTTTTACTAAACGCAAATAGGATTAAATTACGCATTGCACCTTTAAGAAGCTGTCAGCAGGATTAGAGTTACGCACAGCGAGCCAAGTGTCCCTCCGAAGGGGTTTTACGCACCGTCGGCATCCAGAAGAGGCACAACTTAAGCCGCACTCCTTCTTCGCTGGTCCTGACACCAAAGGGGAGTCCTCCACGCCACGCGCGACATGGCCGAGATAGGGAAAGGGGTCACCGCCGGGAAACTGGCCATCAACGTCCAGAAGAGGCTTACCAGAGCGCAGGAGAAGGTAAGAATGGTCAACTTTTCATTCAGCCGATCAGCACAGGAGGCTCGCATGGCAGCGGGACACAGTGTCCTGGCGTGAAACTGGATCCCATAACTTTGTACCTTCAAACGAGGGAGAGTTAACGGACTACAAAAAAGGTTTTCTCTAAGGAAAGTTTCAGTTTGGATCAGCCTGTCCCATTAAATCGACTGCAGCGTCGTAATATATTCACCAAACATCCAAACCGCATGTAACTGTATTTCATAAAATATTCAGAGATTTAAAACCTTTTTAATAGCATCTTAAATTCCACAGTATTAATAAATGAAAACCTTGAGTTAAAAGTAGGGCCTGGGATGGCCCTCCCCCTGAAGTATGATTTGAAATTTGATTGCTCCCCCTCAAACTTTTGTTGTCATGTCAGGGCAACTTAGCCACAAGTTACAGAAGGACAAATGGTCCAAATCCCCCTTTTTTGTTTTGGTGCATCATTTTAAATGCTCTTTTCCGGATTATAAAAGCAAAACAATAAGTTTCTAGGCTTGAATGTGGCACAGTAACATTATTTTACCACTCAATGGAACAAAATGTATTTCCAGGTGGAACCAGACTGCTCTTTGTTCCTTTGCTCCTCCAGGTTGAATCTTTACTTTTGCCCTGTTTCCTGAATTACAAAAAAAGCACTTTAAATAGTTTTTACAGTATATGAGGTAAAATCTCCAGTAGCATGAAAGATCTCTTAAAAGGCTTTTAACTCTTAATTAGGTGGAAACTATAAACTGTAGATAAAAGATGGATGCAACCACTTTGACATCACCCAATTGTTTGGAGCCTTTTGAACCATGAAAGTTAGCATTTAAGCTGTTTCCATGGTGTTTTTAGGAGGCCAGAATTACCATATATGGATGAGAAGTTTGAATGCTGGTGTTATTATCAAACACTGGCAAGCTATGTAGAGTTTAAGGTGGTTTTAAGGGGTAAAAATTTCATATATCATGGAAGCCATCTGTGATTTGTAGTGCTCTAATATCTTTAACTAATGTGAAAGTCCAGTGTAGCCAATGAATGGGTTTAAAAAGGGTCCAAGATCATATACAAGGGTGCCCTTTGTGGTTAACACCCATTACAATAAATGTCAATCGGCTAATCATTTACTTACTATATTTATCACTCAACTGTTTATTAATGACAAACAGCAGAGTTAAGAGTCTGTAACGTATCAAATTGGATCCACTGTACTGTAGAATTTAAAAAGAGTTTAAAATAAACCCCAGAGGTGATTCTCGTGGTTAAAACCCATTTAAATTCCTCACAGTAGATTGAGGGGTTTGCCAAATATTAGCAAGTTAATCCCTTATTTATCAGTCATGGGTCGATTTATGGCACAGTTAGAATACAGTTCAGTGATAGTCTTAAAGACATTTGAAATTAAGGTAAAAATGAGGTGGTTGTGGTATTTAAATAACAATTATCAAACTGCAATATCTCAAAAGTACTTTCAATGGTTTAAACTATAGTTTAAATGGGCTTAAGGGGTAAACTGTCAATAGTTTGGAAGCCACCAGTTACTTAATTAAAGACAATATAGCATTTTGAGATAAAAACAATATGGATCCAATAGACTGCTTCATATTTAAGTATTTTAGATAAAGGGGTTTAAGGCACAGAAGAAAGTTGAAGTATGAAGTATTTTAAATCAAAGAAATTATTTATACATGCAGACTGTAACATTTTAAAGCATTTTAATTTTAAAGGATTTTAATCACAAAAGTGCTTTAAATATACTTAAGGCACAATTGAAAGTGTTTTATGGGGTAAAATCTGAGCCATTGGGATGAATTCCTTATTTTGGGGGAACTAATAGATTGTTTTATATAAGCGTGTTTTCATTAGGTTTTAAACAAGTTAAAGGTCAATTTTACATTTAGAAATGCCCCTTTATGATTAAAATCCTTTAAAATTCCTTAAAATAGATTGAGGGGTTTGTCACATATAAACCCCTCAGCTCGGAATTTATGGAATGTGACAGTTGCCTAACATTTAATAATATTAAAATATTTTAAATAAAGAAAGTTGTAGTAAAGTATTTCTAAAATATGTCAAATCTGTCTTTTAAGGAGGTTAACAGTATTTCATTGTGATAATTTTTTGTCACCGTGCTTGTAATTGGTTTTTGGGGAGCAATCTAGGTGCCACTTTAAAAGGCTTTAAAGTCTTTCATTAAAAACAGAAAGAAAAGAGGAGAGAAAATAGTTGTAAAAGTGACCAAATGAAACCTGATCAACAGTCTGTGTTCAGCTCTGAGTTATTATTGTCTGCACTAATCACTCTTCTTACTTAAGCCTGCTGAGGTCTTAACCTCTAATCACCTCAGGGCCACACCAGGAGTGCTGTCAGTCAGTCAGTCGTAGAGATTTCACATATACTGCAAATCTCAGCTGCTGAGTCTTCAAGATTGCCTCCCCAAAATGACACAAGCGTGCAGCCACGGTCACTTTTAAATCTAGCCACCACAAACCTTTTGAAGCCATTTTAGTTTTTGAGTCCTAAAAGTTAAAATTTCCTCAAAATATAAACACAACAAATTGTTCTTGAAAATCAGGACCAGAAATTGGGTGAAGAAGTTGTTCAGTGTTGGTAGTAGGGAACTGTGTTAGCTTAGCATAAAGAATAAGGACACAGGCCAACAACAATTTATTCAGTTGAGCAACACAGATCACACATTTTTATTGTCAGGTTTGACTTTGCTTAATCTTCTGCTGAGTGTTACGTGCCAGTGGTGAGAAAAATATAATGTATAGTCCTGGAAAAGCAACAGGAGTTCTCCAGAAAGACCGTAGCTTTCAGTTTTCTGCATTTTTGTTTGCATATTTGTGACACTTTAATGTTTCAGATCATCCAAAACATTTTAATATCAGACAAAGATAACCAGAGCAATTACAAAATGCAGTTTTTAAATGTTGACTTCATAAGGGAAAAATATTTTCCAAACCTACCTGCCCCAGTGTGCAAAAGTAATTGTCCCCAATACCTGATAACTTGTCGCACCACACTTGGTAGCAAGAACTGCAATAAATTGTTTTCATCAGGTAAAGATTTTAAAAGTTGTGGAAGTATAGAAAAAAAAGCTTATAATGTTTCATAAGTAAATATTGCGCTGAGTGAAAGTGGGTAAATTGGCATACAAATAAAACTCAGATCTGGAAAGAGCCTAATCTTCATTTGTTTATGTTCTGTCATGTTCTCCTGTTGCAGTGGTGGATGTTTATATTAATCATGCTCAAAGTTTCAGATAATGAGATCAGTCTATGCATAAGTAGCTCTGAAAACCAAAAGCTCAGATGACAGACTACCCTAATTTCTACATTTCACACAGTTATTTTCTGCTTATGGATCCGTGTGATGTAACAGAGAGCACATACCATGGTCATCTAAACCACAAAAGCCCCACCCACTTGCTGTTTGAACCTTCTGTTTGTGAGGAGTAAGAAAACTTTCTTAAAGAGGGAGGAGCTCAAATGACTTGTTTCAGACAGAGGATGCACTGAGGGAGTATGGAATAAGATGAATAAGGATTATTTCAAACCGGGACTCATGCAAAGCCCAGGTAAAAAGGATAAAGAGCTGGAAATGATCAGAATAGGTCCTGATCTTTCTTCTTCTGCAGTGGTTTAATGACACGGACCTATAGCTCGCATGTTCTGTTCTGCTTTGGGATGCCACCCAAGATTAGCTGTCCTGACTCCTCGGGAAATAAAGGAGCAGCTGAAAATTTGGATGAAATATGACTATTTGAGGCTCAAGGAAATGTGTTTAGCTTTGCTAGAGTGTGCATAAAGTGCACCTGAAGATCATGGGATCCAAAACATAAACCAGTTTAACCTGAGGGGAACATAAATGTGTAATTAAATCTGTTGTTATTTTGTCTAGTAGACGCCAACATCAAGCAGCTGGAGTCAGTAGGAGTCCTCCACAGGGGAACACGAATAGAATAACAAAATAACTTCTTATGTTGGGAAAAAGTTTGTCTCATATAACAAGAAAGTTTAAAATGAAATTACATGTCATTATATTAAAAATGGAGCAAATATGTTTTTCGTACTTTTTCATAGCAACACTGGCTATATGGATGCATAATTTAAATGGTGCTGCTGCCCTTCTGCTGTTTGAGCCACCAGAGCCTGATTGATCATTTCTCTTGAATGGACTTTAAATAGCAGCCGCTGCCACTGTCGCTCGCTGCTGAATGAAATGGCATCCATGTCCTATGTTCCCCGTGTCTGAATGGGAGAGCTTATTTAGGTGGAGGGTACTTTTTAAAATGAGAGAGAGAGATAAAGTCCGGCATGTTCAAGAGAGCTTTCCCCTATCAGGCTTCACTTGTGTTAAAGTCCTCAATCAGGCAAAGAGTAATCAAGTTAAAATATCAGCACAGGGGTTTTTTATCCAGCTGCAGCAAACTTGATTTGATTGATAAAGTGGCTTTAATTTCTAAAGCTGTAGTCTGTGAATACACCTGATCAGCGACTGAAATTTTATTATATCCAGATCCAACATTCAGCTCAAACACCAATAAATGAAGCAAGCAGACAATGAATTATACCTCAAAGTCAAATTAATCAAATCAAGAGTATTTGTTAAATTGTTTAAAATGGTTTAATAACTATTTTTTATGATTTTATTTTCTAAAAAACTAAAATACCAGCACATATGAAAGTCCAATCAACTTTCTTAATAATATTTCTGGTACACAGTTACCAAAAAGTCTTTGGCTGATTTCAGTGTCCAAGAAGAAAACATAGTGGATTGCATTTTAAAACACAGGAAATACGTAGTTTGTTTTCTGGAAATTCATCTTGGCATTCATGCAGCAGAAGAAATCAGAAAGACCGCAGCTTTTTCTGTCCCTGAGCTTTCAGTCTTTGAGCTGTGGTGCGGTGAGTAAAGAGGAAGGTCAGAGTATCATCTTCCCGCTGAAGGCTGGCAGCCGAGGCGGAGGGGAGGTGGGGAGGAGGGATGGG